GAGGCAGAGGCAGAGGCAGAGGCAGAGGCAGAGGCAGAGGCAGAGGCAGAGGCAGAGGCAGAGGCAGAGGCAGAGGCAGAGGCAGAGGCAGAGGCAGAGGCAGAGGCAGAGGCAGAGGCAGAGGCAGAGGCAGAGGCAGAGGCAGAGGCAGAGGCAGAGGCAGAGGCAGAGGCAGAGGCAGAGGCAGAGGCAGAGGCAGAGGCAGAGGCAGAGGCAGAGGCAGAGGCAGAGGCAGAGGCAGAGGCAGAGGCAGAGGCAGAGGCAGAGGCAGAGGCAGAGGCAGAGGCAGAGGCAGAGGCAGAGGCAGAGGCAGAGGCAGAGGCAGAGGCAGAGGCAGAGGCAGAGGCAGAGGCAGAGGCAGAGGCAGAGGCAGAGGCAGAGGCAGAGGCAGAGGCAGAGGCAGAGGCAGAGGCAGAGGCAGAGGCAGAGGCAGAGGCAGAGGCAGAGGCAGAGGCAGAGGCAGAGGCAGAGGCAGAGGCAGAGGCAGAGGCAGAGGCAGAGGCAGAGGCAGAGGCAGAGGCAGAGGCAGAGGCAGAGGCAGAGGCAGAGGCAGAGGCAGAGGCAGAGGCAGAGGCAGAGGCAGAGGCAGAGGCAGAGGCAGAGGCAGAGGCAGAGGCAGAGGCAGAGGCAGAGGCAGAGGCAGAGGCAGAGGCAGAGGCAGAGGCAGAGGCAGAGGCAGAGGCAGAGGCAGAGGCAGAGGCAGAGGCAGAGGCAGAGGCAGAGGCAGAGGCAGAGGCAGAGGCAGAGGCAGAGGCAGAGGCAGAGGCAGAGGCAGAGGCAGAGGCAGAGGCAGAGGCAGAGGCAGAGGCAGAGGCAGAGGCAGAGGCAGAGGCAGAGGCAGAGGCAGAGGCAGAGGCAGAGGCAGAGGCAGAGGCAGAGGCAGAGGCAGAGGCAGAGGCAGAGGCAGAGGCAGAGGCAGAGGCAGAGGCAGAGGCAGAGGCAGAGGCAGAGGCAGAGGCAGAGGCAGAGGCAGAGGCAGAGGCAGAGGCAGAGGCAGAGGCAGAGGCAGAGGCAGAGGCAGAGGCAGAGGCAGAGGCAGAGGCAGAGGCAGAGGCAGAGGCAGAGGCAGAGGCAGAGGCAGAGGCAGAGGCAGAGGCAGAGGCAGAGGCAGAGGCAGAGGCAGAGGCAGAGGCAGAGGCAGAGGCAGAGGCAGAGGCAGAGGCAGAGGCAGAGGCAGAGGCAGAGGCAGAGGCAGAGGCAGAGGCAGAGGCAGAGGCAGAGGCAGAGGCAGAGGCAGAGGCAGAGGCAGAGGCAGAGGCAGAGGCAGAGGCAGAGGCAGAGGCAGAGGCAGAGGCAGAGGCAGAGGCAGAGGCAGAGGCAGAGGCAGAGGCAGAGGCAGAGGCAGAGGCAGAGGCAGAGGCAGAGGCAGAGGCAGAGGCAGAGGCAGAGGCAGAGGCAGAGGCAGAGGCAGAGGCAGAGGCAGAGGCAGAGGCAGAGGCAGAGGCAGAGGCAGAGGCAGAGGCAGAGGCAGAGGCAGAGGCAGAGGCAGAGGCAGAGGCAGAGGCAGAGGCAGAGGCAGAGGCAGAGGCAGAGGCAGAGGCAGAGGCAGAGGCAGAGGCAGAGGCAGAGGCAGAGGCAGAGGCAGAGGCAGAGGCAGAGGCAGAGGCAGAGGCAGAGGCAGAGGCAGAGGCAGAGGCAGAGGCAGAGGCAGAGGCAGAGGCAGAGGCAGAGGCAGAGGCAGAGGCAGAGGCAGAGGCAGAGGCAGAGGCAGAGGCAGAGGCAGAGGCAGAGGCAGAGGCAGAGGCAGAGGCAGAGGCAGAGGCAGAGGCAGAGGCAGAGGCAGAGGCAGAGGCAGAGGCAGAGGCAGAGGCAGAGGCAGAGGCAGAGGCAGAGGCAGAGGCAGAGGCAGAGGCAGAGGCAGAGGCAGAGGCAGAGGCAGAGGCAGAGGCAGAGGCAGAGGCAGAGGCAGAGGCAGAGGCAGAGGCAGAGGCAGAGGCAGAGGCAGAGGCAGAGGCAGAGGCAGAGGCAGAGGCAGAGGCAGAGGCAGAGGCAGAGGCAGAGGCAGAGGCAGAGGCAGAGGCAGAGGCAGAGGCAGAGGCAGAGGCAGAGGCAGAGGCAGAGGCAGAGGCAGAGGCAGAGGCAGAGGCAGAGGCAGAGGCAGAGGCAGAGGCAGAGGCAGAGGCAGAGGCAGAGGCAGAGGCAGAGGCAGAGGCAGAGGCAGAGGCAGAGGCAGAGGCAGAGGCAGAGGCAGAGGCAGAGGCAGAGGCAGAGGCAGAGGCAGAGGCAGAGGCAGAGGCAGAGGCAGAGGCAGAGGCAGAGGCAGAGGCAGAGGCAGAGGCAGAGGCAGAGGCAGAGGCAGAGGCAGAGGCAGAGGCAGAGGCAGAGGCAGAGGCAGAGGCAGAGGCAGAGGCAGAGGCAGAGGCAGAGGCAGAGGCAGAGGCAGAGGCAGAGGCAGAGGCAGAGGCAGAGGCAGAGGCAGAGGCAGAGGCAGAGGCAGAGGCAGAGGCAGAGGCAGAGGCAGAGGCAGAGGCAGAGGCAGAGGCAGAGGCAGAGGCAGAGGCAGAGGCAGAGGCAGAGGCAGAGGCAGAGGCAGAGGCAGAGGCAGAGGCAGAGGCAGAGGCATCTTCATAAATCCGAGGCCAGCCTGGTCTACAGAGTGAGTTCCAGGACAGCCAAGGTTGTTACACAAAGAAACCTTGTCTCGAAAAATAAAACAAAACAGGAAAGAAAAAGAAAGAAAAAAAGAAAAGAAAAAAGAATCACCAGGGAAGCATGTATTTGGGCATGTCTGTGAGGGACTGGGTTTAGGTGGGAGGAACCACTCTAAATGTGAGCCCATTCTCCATGGCTGGGGTTGTAGGCTGCAGAAAGAGAAAGTGAGCTGTCCACTAATATGTCTTTCTGCTTCTTGACTGGGGACGCAATGTGGCCAGCTCTGTCACACCCCAGCTGTCATGCCTTCTAGACCATGATGGGCAGTGTGCTCAAAATGTAAGCAAAACTAAAGTCGTCCTCCAGCTGCTTTTGTCAGTGTCTGGCCACAACCAGCAGAGTGACTAACGTAGAAAACTGGCACTTAGTAGTGGGGCCACTAAGATAATCCTGACTTTAGGGTTTGTAAGAGTTTGGAATTGGTTCACAGGAGGAATGTAAGTTTGGAACTTTGGGCTAGAAAAGCCCTAGAATGCTAACAGACCATTCTGGTGAGTATTTGGAAAACCAGACTGCTAAGTGCAGACAGTGGAGGCCCAGCTCATGAGTTTTCAGAGAACAGAACTCTATCAGGAGCTGGGCTGGGGGCCATTGTATCCTATCCTTATAAAGACTCAGGCTGCCTCTTGACTGTGTCCTGAGAATCCGAGTGAGGCAGAATTCAAAAGTAAAGGACTAATGTCCATCAAATGATGGCGGGAAATTCAAGACAAGATAGCGCTCAAATTGTGGTCTGGCTGCGGTGCGCTGCTCTTAATGGGCAATACAGTTAGAGAAAGCAAAAGGAGGGGAAAATGTAAAGTTTGATGAGGAATGGAGTGCAAACAAGATGAAATTTCAAATGAGGCAGGTTTGAAAGCAGCTGGAACTACTGAAATGAACTAGTGCCATCAAAAGAGACTTGGACCTCTGTGATGTGGGAGTGTCATATCAATCTGTTGATTTCATTGGCTGAGCAATAAAGAAACTGCTGGCCCTGATAGGTTAAAAGATAGGTGGGCGGAATAAACAGAATAGAATTCTGGGCGGAAGGGGAAGTGAGGTGAGACTCTGCTCTGCTCCTGGAGAGATGCCATGCTCAGCTCTGCTGGATAGACACGATAGCTATGCGCTCTGAGGCAGAGGCATGAAGCTCCCCAGTATGGACGTAGGTTAGAATCTTCCCGGTAAGCGCACCTTGGGGTGCTTACACACATTACTAGAAATGGGCTAGCCCAGGTGCGAGAGTTAGCCTAGAAGAGGCTAGATAGAAATGGGTCAAGCAGTGTTTAAATGAATACAGTTTGTGTGTTGTTATTTCGGGCATAAGCTAGCCAAGCGGCCGGGGTGTTGGGGACGCAGCCCCACCGCTCTTATTTCAACACCTCTGCACTGGGACAAGAGAAGGAAGAGACAACAGGAGGGGAAGACTATAGGGACTTTTAGAATTGAACTAACTGCATTTTTATTATGAGATCAAAGCCCAACTTTAGGGGACAGGGGTGGGATGTTATGATGCTTAATCTTGTCGATTTGATGAAATTTGAAATCACCATGGGCATGTCTCTGAGGGGCTGGGTTTAGGCAGGAAGACCCATTGCAAATATAGGTGGTACTGTTTCATGGGCAGGGGTCTCAGACTACATAAAGACTTGTGTGTGCCCTCACTGTGACTGCAGTGTGACCAGTTGCTGCATGCTCCTGTGGCTGTGACAGACTGTATCTTCAAACTGTGAGCCAAAATAAATCTTTTCCCCCTTCAACTTCTTTTATCAGGTATTTTGTCCATAGTACCAAAAAAAAAAGTCAAGAACACAAGAGGTCTGGAAAAAAATGGTCCTTCAAGCTTCAAGATCTCAAGTTTTCTTTCAGTAGCACCGTTTACAAGATGCCCGCAGGACAGAACACACCAAAGACAGCAAGTCCACAAAGCAGTTGAAAGCAATCCTACTGCCAGTGTAAAGAGGGCCCACCAGAAGCCACCTCTGCTAAGTAAGAATCAGTAGACTGTGCACACAGCCCAGGGGAGCAGCCACAGTTTTGCAACACAAACACTTGGCATATTTGAAAATGTGATGTAAAACAAAAGGCATACTAACCTTTCAATGAGCAAGGAGACTGCCAATCAATGGCAGTTCCTTGTCTTTAGTAACCTGTAACTATGATTTACTGCAAGCAGGCAATGGAATCCTTTCATACAGAGATGGCCACCATAATTAGGAGCATTTGTGTAAATAATCGGAAGGCGGTTGGCTTCCAGTCCCCAGTGATTTATGCACACACAAGTTGTTTCCGTGTGTGACTTTCCTCCACAGTTTAGTTAAGGAAGCATCTATCCCTGGTTTATCTGTCAGCAAAGCTGCTCCAGATTCCAGCAGCAGTAAAACGCAGAGAGGAAATGTGTGAAGGCTTGATGAAAGCCAGAATTGAAATGTCAGTAAATATCTAAATGAGAAAGAATTCGCCGTTTCCTTCTCAAGACAAGTAATTAAGGACGGCCCCGCCCCCCTCCAAGTTTTTAAGCTCCAAGGTTCCCTGGGCAAAGAAAGCAAACCTTCAGTAGTCACACATTACTCAACTAGCCTTTACGACACCCTCACTAGTGTGGTTATTTGTTTCTTTTACAGATAAAACAGGCTTAGGGACGCTGGCACACTTTGGGGGCACACTGCTGGGTCTGAGAATGGAGTAGCCAGGCCTTCTTCCCTATGGCCCATGGTCACTTCTCCACCTAGACATACCTCCCACCATTTAAGCCCTCTAAATTCCAACAAACACTTTCCAGGTTAAACCCAGAAGTCCAGCGTCATCTCACCTCAGAATCCCTCCAATTCTCCTCTTCTGTAGCCCTACATTTCCACAGGTCCCTTGTAAAGGCTCATTCCCGGGAGGGGGCGTACGACCCTGCCTCCTCCATCCAGAACTCCGGGAATGTCTCCCAGGCTCTGGAACCAAACTGACCGCTCGCTCAGCCTGGTATCCAGCGTCGTCGTCTCTTCAGCTGCCACCTGGGCCGCCGCAGGGCTCAGCTCTGGTTTTCCTTTCTCTTCTTGGATGGGAAAACCGGGACTCAGAGCCACGGCAACTTCCCTAGGATACACGGTCTGGGGAGAAGCCGGTGTGGTCTACCGTCCTTTGACCACATGCGCCCCCTTCTCCAGGAGCCCGGCTCGCAGCGAGTATCCGGATCCGCGCATGGCTCTGGACGCGCGGGGGAAAAGTTGTCAGCCGTGGCGTGCGCCTCTCACCTCGCGGTGCACTTCACCGGCCGCACCTTGCACACACCCCGCCCACGCCCCCTCTCCTCCTACCGCCCGCGCGTCGCCAAGCAAAGCCGCTCCCGGTCGGGTCCTCGCCCGGGTCGCCGCCGCTTCCGCCCGTCCGGCGCGCAGCCTGAGGAGCGCCGAGCCATCGGAGCGCGCGGCGCGGCGCGGGACGGGCTGGGCGCGCACTCTCGGCGGTGCACACGGCGGACCAACTCTCCGGCGCGCGGGGTGCGTCGCCCGTCGCCGCCCCGGTACCGGGAGGCAGAGCGAGCGCTTTGTCCGCGAGCCCGCCCGGGACTCTGCCCCGAGGAGGCAGCCGCGCCGAGTCCCCGCCTCCGCCTCTGCCCCCGGGCGGGCCGGGCCGGCCGCGGTGGGGGGAGCCAGGCTGAGGGCGAGGGTGGGGGCGGGGGCGGGCTCAGGAGGAGAGAGGAGGGCAGTAGAGGCGGCGGGAGCGCCGGGTGCCGGGCCGGGGGAGCCGCGGGGCTCTCGGGAAGACGCGGATGATGAACAAGCTGTACATCGGGAACCTGAGCCCCGCCGTCACCGCCGACGACCTCCGGCAGCTCTTCGGGGACAGGAAGCTGCCCCTGGCGGGACAGGTCCTGCTCAAGTCCGGCTACGCCTTCGTGGACTACCCCGACCAGAACTGGGCCATCCGCGCCATCGAGACCCTCTCGGGTGAGCACTCGCGCGACCCACGCCTCGCCTCGCCGGCTCGGGACGGTGGCAGTGGGGAGGCCGAGCCCCACGGGCCGCGCCCGCCGCGACTCCCGCGCCCGCACGCACACTTCCACGCACCAGCTCCGCGCGACTCTGGTGGCGGGCGGGCTCCGGGACGGCCGGCTGCCCTGCCCCCACAGCGGGGGCTACCCTAGACCCCTCTCGGGTACCTCGGGCCTTAGACTCGGGGCGACCCTGTGTTCCTCCGGGGGTCCCAGGGCTCGCAGGCTTCCTAGAAGCGCCCCTGGCGTGCCCAGCTGCTCCGCGGAGCTTCCCCCGCCCCCACCTTTGCAGAGCCCCGTTTTCCTTTTCTCTGACCCTTCTAGTGCCCTCTTTGCCAGGGGCCCCCCAAGTCCAGCATCTTCCCTTCTGGCCAGACCTTCCTTCTTTCCATGCCTCGTGCCAAAGACCTCTCGCCCTCTGCAGTCTCCCGAGCTGCACTCTCCTTTTCGAGACCCCCCCCCGTGTCCTGGCCCCCCACTTTCGGCAGTTCCTCGACTTTACCTACTGAACCCTTTGAGGTCCCGGGGTTCCCCCTACCCGGCCCTTGTCGGACCGCACATCTCCCTTGGTCTTTTCCCGAAGCTCACTTCCCTCTCGCTGGTCTCGGAAGCGCTCCTATTTTTCCCTGAATTTTTTGTCCGATTTTATTGAGAAGAACTCGGGGCTGGGGGCTTTCCGCCTCCCGTCTCCCCGCCTCCTGCTCGGCCAGAAGCACCTTTTTACGAGGTACCCTGTCTCAACTCGGTGGGGGCCCGGGCTGAGAACCGGGAAAGAGGCGACCGGGGGGCCCGCGAGCGCGCTGGAGCCCAGACGGGAGTCGGAGCGCGACACTCGCCTGCGCGCGCGTTCCCAGCTCGCATCCCGCACCCGCACGCGACGGGCCACGCTCCCCAGGCCTGCGACCCCCGACTCCGCAGGGAACCCCTTCCTTGGAGACCTGTGCGGCTGGGTGGGCTGGCGAGACTGGGGGTCACCCCAAAGTAGGCGGCCGCAGAGCTGGGGTCTCCTGCGCGTGTCCCCCGAGCCTCGCTGGCAGGGAGGGCGGTGGGGTGGGGGTGGGGGGCGAGCGCCCCGGAATCTCGGGGTCCTCGGGTGGCGGAATATGGAACTGGGGGCCGGAGAAGCCGGGGCGCGCCAGCCTTGCAGCTTGAGTTTCAAATGAGCTCATCTTTTCAAATTGGCGCCGCTCTTTATTAAATGTGTTTTTCCGGTTATGCCACCCACAGCTATACCTGGGGTCGGAACCGGGCTTGTGCCCTTCCCACCTCGTCCGCCACCCGTGGCGCCCACTTTTCATCACAGTTGGCGCTAAGTTCGCCCAGCTGCGGCCTGGTGGAGGACCCCTTGAAGGCTCCAGAAGGCGGAGCCCGAGCGCGGAGTAGTGCGCCTAGACCCCCGCGGGTTTGACTCAGGGAGGTTCTGAGTACTTTAAATTTCTGTTTTAAAGGTAAAGTGGAATTGCATGGGAAAATCATGGAAGTTGATTACTCAGTCTCTAAAAAGCTAAGGTAAATATATTTTGCCTAGTTTCTTTTTTTCTAACCCCTCCTCCGCGATTGGTTTTCCATACGTATAACTAAAAAAAAATCATCAACTTTAAAAAATGTCTGTATGTTTTTTAAAAAGGGCTTCTGTTTGTTTGTTAGTGGAGACACATAGCTCCACTAACTATTAGAAAGTTATTATTCCTTTATTATTATTTTACTTTCATTATATAAGGTGTTTTCTGCGCTTGCAAGCTGTTTGGTGCCTAATTAGGGGTCGAACTGGAGAACGCTAGGTGGATTCAGTTGGCTGTGATTAAGCTGTTTATCATAAATTGCCTTTCCCCGAGAACTCCCGACTGCCATTCCTACCCCCAGCACAATAGCAAACTTCCTGGGAGATGTTAAGAGTAAATATTTACTGTGTCAGTTGAATTGCTTAACTTGACCATGCGAGTAATTACTTTTTTTTTTTTTGCATAGTTTAGTGACGAATAATACAATAATTCAGTAACTAAGGGGTCAGTATTTTGTGTGGTATTCTAAAGCAGTAGGTTGTTTGTATGCAATGCAGGGAGAAGCCAGACTTCAGTAACTGAGGCAGAGGGGCTGTACTCCTGCGCACTTTGCTGTTATTGTTGCATTAGAGAAACGCTGGAGAATAAACAGTGTCTCAGTGAAGCCAATAGTTAGCTATTGTTAACCTAGCAGTAACGCGTTCTGTAGGGGCTGGGTTTCCCCAGTGATTTGCCAGGGAAGAATGAAGGAGAAAAATCTTTGTGTAAAGCTCACTGTGGACTTTAAATTGGGGGGGGGGGGTGTTTACCTCCTCCCACGTGTCCTGACTTACTTTACAGCCATTAAGGAAGTTTCTTTGCATTTGTCATTAAGTATGTGAACTTGGGAGGCTAAGTCTGATTTTCCACCTTCTTAGTCAGAGGTTAAGACGCAAGATTTGAGAACATTTTAAAACAAATTGATTTTAGAAATACTTGGCTGTGCTGGAGGGTTTTTAAAAACATCGCGAGCTTATTTGCACATACGTTTTAATGTCATAGAACCTCTGTTTGTACATGACTGCACCACATTAGAAAACTGTTTTAATACTTTTGTTTTAGAAGAAGTTAAAAACTGATGATTTGCAGTTTGGGTTGTATTACTGAGTGGATTCTTATGTTGAAAACGTGTAGCAGGCTTTCTGTAAATTGTTCTGAGTTAATGTGGTTTCCTTCAGTATTATTATTATTATCATTTTGGGGGATGGGTAGGGGAATGTCTTCTGGGATGCTAAGTATTTACTGTAAGTTTAAACCCTTCATCCCTCAACAGTTGAAGTTTTGATGAATACTGTTAAAAAGAACCACTGAGAATGTTTACTGCACGATGTATCTCTAAATATTTCATTCTGTTGGCTGTCTAGCTCTTGTGAATCCTTTTGAAGGTCAAAATTAGCACAAGTCAATAGATTTGTAGTTGGGGCTATTTGATGTCCCCTTATTCCACCATGTAGTGTATATCCTTCAGTTTTCAAAGTAAGTGAAATGCTAGCTTATTTAAAGTTGTTAAGATCACCCAGAACTTAGCAACAAAATGACTATTTTGGCTTTTTCTTTCAAAATGCAGAGGTTTGTATTTTGACTGAAGTGTCACTTAGGTAATTTTATTCTGCCATAGCTTAAAAAATAATCATGTCACAAGTTTTAGTATAAATTGTTTAACAGTCTAGGGCTTATATAGTCCTAGGAATAAGTGGATTTCTTTGAACATGTTGGTGATATAAAATAACCTCAGCCTGCCGCATGGTTGACTACACCTGAAGACAGTTAAGAAACCAAAGGCATGGGTAGCGGCTGCTGGAGAGAGGGGCACTATTTTTTGACTGATGGTTTTAATCTTTTTCCTCCCCCTTTATTTCAAACACAGACGTTCCCTACTTGCACTGCAGCTTAAGGGAGAGAAAGCTAAACTGGTTGGAATTGGTTAGCTAGGCTCAGCCCTCTGGGATGAGGTCTCCATAATTCTGGGCACAACCACGCTGGTGGCTTAAAAAAAAACCCAGAGTACTGTGACATTTAAGACCAAAGCTTTCATGTTATATAGTGATTGTTTTATTCTTTTGTTCCCTTTCCTGCAAATTGACAAGTTGGAAGTAAATTTGTGAACATTTGGTCAGTTCTATATGTGGTTTTTGTGTTCTGTGGAGCACAGGGAGAACAAGCCGTCCTCTCTCTTTACCTCCTGGAGAAATGATTCAGTGAGTGAGTGCTAAGTTTTTAAATATCGTGCTTGGCTCTTTGAATTCTCAGGAAGCTGTTTTAATACCTACGTTCCCAATAGGAAGATAGGTGTTGTTTTTCTAAAGCTGATGATAGTTTGTAAAATGTTTTAATCTTCATTTGTGGAGTTACTGGCATGCTATTTGCTTACCATTGGGTCTTTTGTTAAATCACATAGCATCATTTAATACACACGGCTACACTGCAGACAGACTAGACACTACTGTTTCTTTTTTCAGCCACTCTGAAGTAGAATTTTTTTTTCTTGTTACTTATGTTTAGTCCATCTTAAGTACAGATTGTTGGTCAGTAAGCCACACCTATCATCTATTTCTCTTGCATTCTACTTGGTTTCAATCTGCTGAATAAAAATCTTTGGATTGTCTTCTATATTCGTATAGTACCTGTGGGTTAGAGAGGGAAAAAAACTGATAACTTTAAAAGTGCTGTGAAAAGTTCTAGAAACTTCCTTGGTAGAATTTTTATTTTGGGTGCTGCTGAAAGTGCACTTAAAAATTCCCATATACACACATGTACACATTGGATAAACGGTTTTGATCAAAGACACGCTTACTTGACTGTGCTTTTGTACCTAAAGTTGAATGATTCTGTGCGAAACACAACTTTAGAAAAAAATGCAATATCTACCCACTTTTAGGAAGTAGCTGATTGATGCCATTTTCACTGGGACAGTCAAATGCTCCGAGGTGCTGTAGGGAAGCTATGAATCTGTCTTTCATGAGTTAGAAATCAGTAATTGTGTTCTCCAATGCAAATGAATTTGGTCTCCTATAGGAATGCTAAAGAAAACAGTATCCCAATTGTATTTTGCTTGTATGTACTACATTGTGTATAGCTGAATTAAATACCAACCCCCCCAAAAATCCACCCAACTTCACGTCCTCCCTGTAACAAAGGCTTTTTCTGCATTAATTTTTAATTTTCTAGAAACAGAGAGACTTTATTAGTTTTACATCTTATAGGAGCCTCCTAATTCAAGAGTTTGTTGAATTAGAAATGATGGCTGGACTTAATTACATATGTGGAAAGATCAATACAGTGCATATATGTTATCAAACTGTAAAGTCACTTTGATTTAGCTTTGAAGTTGCAGTTACACATTTTCAAAAAGGTGAATTTTTTATATTGTAGAGAACATACATTTTCCTGATCTCTAAGAAATAGATATTAGGGT